GCGAGACCTTAGAGGACCAGCAGCAATGATGGTCAGAACAGATCAGAAGAATCTGCCATCAGCTCAAGTAAAACAGTTGAGAAGTACAGAAAAGGGAAACAGGAATTTGATAGGCCATCGAGTTCATATCTCAGCTGTCAGACGTTCAGGCGAGCTGATGAAGTCGCATAGGCGAATTAGTGTATTGAAGGGTACGAGTCATGTTTCTAGTGTGGCGACAGACTTGGGTGGAAGCGGCAAGTCATCAGGGGAATCTTCCTTTAAAGGTCGTTGGGTTCGATCGAGAAAGGAAGTGACGGGGACCACTTAGATCAAGTGGGAGTACATGGCTATGTCTCTAAGTCTGGGGGACAAGACCACAGAGAGTTGCCTAGTCTCGGGGCAGAGTCAGACGATACTTAGGTAGGGTCAAGCAGTGTTGATCAGTTCGTTGATAGAGAAGTCAGAACTGTGCCTTGACAGAGGGTGTCAAGAAGTTGATGGGGGCACTGTTGATGCAGTGGGAGGCAGAAAATTGTCATTTTGTCTCCAAGTGGAAGATTGTTGGGATTATGGAGCAAAAACAGGAAACCTATATCCTATTAAGAAAATGATTTTTCAACACTATTACCAATTCCTACTGGGAGTAGGATATTGTTGACTTATAAGGATTACAATATTGTTTTCCTATAAGAATTAGGATATTTGGTCTCTTATAAATAAAGCCTTTATGTTAAGGTTTCATTTGTACAGAATCCAAATAGAAGGTACTTGAGTGGTTGTGGGCAGTGTTGAAAAAGATTCCGTATCCAGTGGGTTTAGTGAGTGTTTTTCATTCCTGTACCTAAGTATAGTGTGTTATAATACTTAGAAGCTGGAAGGCTTTTGTTGGGACCTCTAAGGGATATTTTTGGGGAGAGTTTTGTATTCTAGTCCTTAAACAATTATTAGTGAATTACCCACATCTGAGTGGAAGACTAGACGTAGCCCTTAGTGGTGAACCAGTATAATTTGTTGTGTCGTTATTCTTGTGCTTTTACACCTTTCTTCCTATTCTCATATATTTTGGTTGTGTTTGGAATTTCTGTGGAAGGGGAAATTATTCAGGGTCTTCAATTTCCCAATAAGGAGTTGTGCAGAATAAATAAAGCTTGACTTGTGCTTAAATCTACCTGTTTGATTCTTTAATTGTTATCCTTCTCTGCCCATTGAGTATAGTTTAAGTGTTAAGATACCTATCATAAATGGGATGATGTTTTCTACCAAAAGAGAAGAGAGAGAAAAATATTTTTTATTGGTGATGCCAATTTAAGAGCGAGTTTTGTTGTAGGTGCCACACGAGTGCCCACGTCGTCTTCCTCTCTTAAGTTCAAGCTTTACGTGCACACAACATGGTAGATCTAGAATTTTTGTACAATGAACTTATTTTATTAACTATTATATTTAATAATCTCAAATTTGTCAAAGTTAAATATAGTTCAACCAGTTAAAACATATATCTCCGACAAAAAATGTTATGAATTCGAACCTGATCATTATATATTGTTCTAGGAAAAACCCTCGAATTTACAATACATCATGTTAAAGATAAAAAAGTTAACTTACACAATTAATATTGAAACTGTTAAATTCTTTAGAGGATGAAAAATTAAAAGGAAAAAACTTGAGGATGATGCAAAATTCAAGTTAAAACATTCTGGAATATTTTGGCATTTTGACTATTTTTCAGAAAGCTTTGTAACTGGATGTTTGACATGAAATTTTGATTCTGAATTAGTTGCCACTTGCACTCTTTGTATAGGATTAAATTTATGGATATTATTGGAGGTTGGGAATGATTAATTTGTCGTTAAAAGACTTAGTCTTCTAGCTATTTTTAAAGTTGGATAAATTTAGAGTATGCTATTTTTAATTTTATTATTTTTTAAACCACCAAACATAGTATACTGTTCGTATATAAAGAAGAACTTGTTTTTGTTCTAGAACAGAGAAACAAAATTTTTATGAGCACGTTTATCGATTCCATTTATGTTTGGATTTGAAGTTGTGTTAACCTTGGGAATCAACCTACGAGCATACGATATAGCACTTTGGTCGTGCCGTAATTGCTTTCAGGGCAGCACCACGGCAGAACGATATTTTTTCTTTTAATCCTAATTTACTCCAACATTGGATTGTTTATTGCCTTAAAAAAATCATCTTATGAAATTATACGGCTATTTTTGTTCTCTAATCATGCTGGTATGTAGATTATTGACGGTTGCACAAGTAACTAACTATGTTTGTTGTTATTTGGGAGTCTTGTATGAGATGTGTGTTTATGCAAGTATTTGCACAACGGTTCTTTGCCTTGAACCCGGTCCTAGCTCCGACCTGAAAGACTAGGGAGACCTGCACAAGAGGGCAAAATCTCTGACGCTCAAGTCTGTAAGTAGTTCGGACTCACTATTAAGTTCGAGGAGAAAATCGATACCTGATGGTAAAATGAGGCCCTCTATTTATAGGTTTAAGTCCCGACAGGGGTCACGACAGGTAGTTTACCTTGGTCGGTTTTGAGGTTGGATATGTCAAGTTCTAGTGGGTCGAGCTCGGATATTTTAGAGGTAATACAATTAGGAGTAATGAGCTTCCCTCCTCGGAAGGTTTTGAGGAGGAGCTTTGCAAAACGAAAAACAATCTCGTCTGACTGCCAATCTCTGTCCTCCACGTGGCCATTGGATATTTTATCCCCGAACAATGTGAATTTTAAATTTGTGGTTATTTCAATTTTTTATATTTAAGTTCTGAAAAAAATGTTCGACTATTTGATGAGTGCATCTTTTCCAGTTTGAGGATTTTGAATTGTTAATTGTAAGCCTATGTTAGGATAAGATTTGATGATTCTTGGAAACTTTTCTAAACGAGATTTTGTTTGAATAAAAAGGATTCGTTTAAACGAGATTTTGTTTTAAGTGGCATGGTTTGAATAAAGTTTTCGATTTAATTTCAGCATTAAATGAAAATTTTCAAATCCACAGCTTTTTTAAATAATTAACAAAATCTTAGCCAATAAAATATATTTTTAGTATGTAGACACCTTCTTTGGTTTGACTAAAATTTTATTTTATTTCATATTTTCTTTTCTTTTCTTTTTTAATTAGGAAGATTGTACTTAATTTGAGTTTGATTAAAGAATTTATTTTTCTAAACTAATTTGTTATGAAAGGATAAAAATAAATAAATAAATAAATTGAAAACTCATCTTGGTCTTTAACAAAGTTTTTTTCCAAAAGAAAAAGGAGGAAAGATATTTAATTTTGAATAAGTCTTTTAGTTGAAGATTTGGTAGGTTAGGTATCTTTTCTTTTTCCTATCTACCTTCAGTTAAACACTCCGTTGTTTTTCCCTATAAAAAGAGGATTAATGTTCATCAAGAGGGGAGCTCAAAAAGAAAAGAAAGTGCGAAGAAAGGAGGGGAAATAGTAAAAGAACACTCTTATACTTTACACAAACTATTGAGGTTACGATTGCATTCCCAACATTCCAACAAATTGACCCACACATTTCTCCACACAGGTGAGCAAGGTGGGTTCTCTTTTTTTTTTTCATATGCTTTATTTGATACTGGAAATTCAAGGTGTTT